AGTAGCTTTGAAATTTTGACCAGTAAAGAGACAGTTGAACACAATTGGTTTGCATGTTTATTTCAGAATAAATGGATTGAGAACACTAAGATTTATCTTTTTACAACTAAGACAATTAGCTATTTTCTTGGCTGGAAGTTATTTGATTACATCAATTATAGGTGAATAGAAATCATGGTAGAAAATATTTTGGCTTCAAATCTCTGTTCCTGACTCTGTCTCTTTTTGTATTCAATATTATTTATGGGAATATATATTGTGTAGTTTAAAATGGGAGTGGAGACTTACACAATGTCACTTTTTAATGTAGTACCAAAAATTCAGCAAACCAGTTTACATGAGAAATAGCATGGTTACCTAGCTAGGGTTTTGATAAAGCAGTAGTATCAGTAGTATTGTGTTTCCCCGAAGCCCCTCCCCACCAATCTACTCTTATTCAACTAGTGACATTGTCACAAGCTTTTCTTTCTAAATTATCAGTATGGTCACCTCTGGGTCAGGACTCAGTCCCTGGCTCTACAGGAAGCCTGGCTAATCTAGCACCACGGTTTTGAGATCAGTACATGAATCCAGTCAGGCCAGGTGGCCAAGTACTGGGAATCCTTAGAAAGAAAAACTATCTCAAAGTCAACTCTGGTAGTATTGAAACAGGGCTCCTGGCTACTTCACTTTCATGGCCACACATGGGACAGCCCGCACAAGCAAATCCTAGAAAGGCTGATGGGAAGCAGAATCCTGTCTGTGTCACTGGAGTCTCTGGAACTAGCCATGCCTAGGCTCTTCAGTTATGTGAATCAATGAGTAATAATACTTTCCTCTGACAAATTATCAATTCCTTCTTACTATTTTCATCATTACTAGTTCTTATAACTAAGAATTGTTCTCAAATCTATGTGAATTCAGCTGTAATTTATCACTTAAAAAGGCTGAAAAGTACAATTACATATAACATTATAAAATCTAGAACTTTGGACTGCAGATCTTTCTAAGCCTAACCCAGTGTTCTTTCCAAACTCAGTATTACCTGAGACTGGGACACGCTATTGAACAGTATGGTCTCCTTATCTAAAAGTAGGAGCAAGTTGTAAGGGCCACTACATTTGTGTTTTTCTAGCCAAATACCACTTTACAATCTCTTCTGGTGATACGGAAAAAAGAATTGCCAACTAGAGAAAACAGAAACTCGTAAGTATAGTAAAGTTTTCGTCAGGAGGAAACTCGTAAACATCATTAGGCAGTGGAGGATGAGAGTGGACCCAGGATTAGAAAGGACTTAACTTACCTTCTTTTTGCCACACATATTTTTGAAGACCTTTTTTTACTGGGGATCTAACTCATGACCTCATGCTTGCCAGGCAGACACTTATGTCTCTGAGCTAAATTTCCAGCCACACAATATTTTCGAAAAGTATGGAAATTAAGCAGTGTAGTAGATAAAATAAACCACAGCATTCTCAAATGACCAATATATTCATTTTAAGAGCTTTCATATGGTAAAATGCATTTCACTGGGGAATGGGAAGTCACACAGTCGGGCTGGTTTTTACGAAACTCCTGTTTTGTTTTCATGAAACTCCTATTTTGTGTATCTCAACATGAGCACTGTATTTAATCAGGTATTCACTACCAAACACCTTCTCCATGATAGCACAGTGTTCTAACTTCTGAATCACAGAAATTCCATGTTCTTGTTTGTGTGCCTCTGCTTTGCATATATGATCGACTGGCATCTTTGTGCTTTGACACTTCAAAACTTTTAAGGCTTAAAACAGGAGTCACATTTATTATCACCAACATATATTCTAGGGTGAATATGTTCCCTTAATTAAATTGCAGTAGTTTCTACTACTGCATTTTCTAATGCACCAATTACATCCATTTTTGCTTTTAGGTATGATGCAAAAATTTTGAAAAGCAAATCTAGCATGGAATACTGCTGAAAAGTCACTTGGATTTGCCTTTAATATTTTTAAAGAGGATCTCAGGGGGCCCTTAGTGCCCTTCTGTGCACCCAAGTTATTTTCTCCAGTGGAATAATCAGTGTGGGAGGACCAAAGGCCGAAGTCCCTTAGTTCTGGCCGTATAGATAACGGACATCCAGTGGTTATTTTAAAACTTTTGCTTTTTGTGATCTAAGTCTTAGGAACTGAGATGATTTCTCAATCTATCACTCTACACAGACCACACATTTGAGAATATGGCTTTGTTTACCTAATACTGCTTGAAGGCTCAGCTATTCTCTGCAGGACTGTTTTGGGGAAACAAGACCATTTGAATCACCAGTGGTGCTTCTTTAAAAAATGCAGGTATTAGACCCTTTTCAGTATGGTCAATCAAAAACTCTGGGAATGGAACCCAGCTGCCTTTCTTAAAGAATTTACAATTGATTCTTAATGAAGTTTGAGAATTTTGCTATAGGGCATGTCAACTTTGACCTACATCAACTTTGAAGTATAATGGAGATAATTAAATATAAACTAATAATAAAGCCTATGACTTCATTGCTCTTGTCTTATGTAATTAATGTAACACTGGGTGAATGTTTAAAGCTGCACAGAAGTGTTGAAAAGGATACACTGATTTAATAAATTAAGAAAGAAAGTTTAGAACAAAAGATTTTATGCATATGATAATTCATCCAGTTCAGTGAATGATAGTTATTTTTTTTAAACTGCTTTAAAACAGCCTGGTGTGGTGGTGCACTCCTGTAATCCCAGCACTTGGAAGGCTGAGGCAGGAGGATTGTCACAAGTTCGAGACCAGCCTGGGCTACAAGGTGAGGTCAAGGCTAGCCTGAACTGCATAGTGAAACCCTGTTTGAAAAAGTCAAAATAAAAACAAAGCAAAACAAAACTTCTTCAAAGTATACTCTCTAGATAATTTAATATAAAACTGAATGTACAACTGAATGTTCTCCTTTGCTTTTTTAAAAGTGATGCATTTTAAAGTGATGCCCACTTTAAGTATCCAATTAACACAGAGAAATTAAAGCATTCACCTGTTAGTGCTAACAGTCATAACAAACACTTTAGGTCCCACCTCCCTTTCCCAGATACTTACAAACTGTATGTGAAAAACTAACTATGTACTTGTCACACGCTGTAGAGAAGAACAGTCATTCTCAGAGACAATGGTTTCTAACTCCAGCTGCACATTAGAACACCTGGAGAAACGGAAGGACCGGACATATACCTGTCTTATACTATCAATAATGTCAATCCAATTGCTTGTGAGAAAGTCTTACATATTTTTGTCTTAAATTCCCCCAAGTGATTCTACTATTGAGGCAGTGCTGAGATCCACTCCTCTAGACTTTTCCCCAGGATGTACAACTTCTAACTCAATAAATGACATTGAGCTAAGAACAATAATCAGTGGTTAAGACTGCCTGAAGTCAATTTAGGTCACTTATTTCTAGCCTACCAGCTTTAATTAAGACAGATTAGGTGAGAAAGGGTGATGCATTAGGCAGGACAGCAAGGGTCTTGCAGGCTTGCTTTTTCCAAGTCTCCCATCTTATAATGTCACGTGCTTACGTATGTTAAAAGACATGCAGGAACAGGCTTGTAAAATGCAGTTGTCTGCCCTCGGTCTATTGCTGAAGGCTTTAATTACACAACATGATGTTATCTTTTAGAAGACATTTGAGAGCTAATTCTTCTGACCTCAATATAATACTCAACGTTTAATGGACTCATGAATTTTTATAAAGAATCAAGTTTTACTTAATGAGCTACTGCAAAGTGTCAAGTCAAGCTTGTTCTTCAAGACCAGTGGCAACTGAAATTGTTTCAGCATAAAGTTTTTATATTTCTTTTCTCATTTTATTTCTTGCCTCTTGATAGCACTTTCATCTGTTTTTTCCCTCACCTATTAAAGTCACTATAAAACTGAAAAGGAACAAGATTAGGTGTACATACCATTAAAAAAGTGCAGTGGAGACAGAGATCAACACTGCACCACAAAACCTGACTTTGATGTGAGTCAGCTAATTTTCTCAGTGTAAGAAAACCTGAAAAGCACTGACGTTAAAGTACGAAACACACTGCATTGGACTAATTCTATTTAAATAAAAATGTGTAAGATAAAATGAACATGCAGCCATCCATCAAAACAGTGCTATTGTGAGTCTAAATTTATCACTGATTTGCTGAAAGGAGCATAAAGAAATGGTCAGAGGAAGGAAAAACTTTTTTGTTTTTAATCTGAGAAAGAACCAGGAATAAAACAGTGAAGCTTTTAGAATGATGCCTAAATTAAGCTTTAACAAGAGAGGGAGAAATGTGACAAAACTTTAGATTGTCTTTGGTAACAAGTATGAGGAAAACAGTGTCTATTAAATAAGATTTAAAAATAACATAGCTAGAAGATAGTCTAATGTAATTTTTCTATAAAGTACAATACACTGCTTTCATGATTAGCCAGTGAAATCTAATATTCCAACTACTTGTAGCTATCATGCAAATTGTTACTCTGAAGTTAAGATTCTACAGTCCAATAATTTTAAAATGGGAAACAATTAGGTTCTTATGAAATTGCACTGATGGATCATGAAAAATGTTCTAAAAGTAATCTGCAGTCAATGTTGGATATTGCTACTGTATTGTATAGATATATGGGAATTTGGGTGAAGTTATTCTTTAAATAGAAACTATTCATTGTAATTTACACTGATGGATTAATTTATAGATGTAATTTGACACACAGTTTTCCCTTAGCTATGATCGTATTTATTATTTATTCTCTGACTGAAACACTACAGGCAAAAACCCTGCATGAATCTTCAAAGAGAACCTGGCTTTGTCTATGTGTGAAAGCTCTTAGATTGGCTTTTAATTTATGTTGCCTACATCCATTTTCTTCTACATTTTATACAGTACGACATATTTCTTTTGGTTGAAGATATTGAACGAGTTTTACTATATCATGTAATTTTTACAAAAGTTGTATACAAACCCCTGAAAATATGCAGAAATTGCAAAATACACTCTGACAGCTAATGCTCTGAAAACACTTTATTACACAAATTACATTCAGATTCTGAAAATAGTGTTCTAACAGTGTAGCCATCTAAAAATAAGACATCCTGGAAACACAGTAACTGAAAAAGAAACTAAAAAAAAAAGAATTTAAATAGAGACTTTTTTCTTTCTCTCATTGCAATATAATGTTAGTGATTTTAAAAAAATAGAAGGAGATTTAGCAGCTTTGTCGTCGTGTAGCACAAAGTTTCTCTTTACTGCCACAGGCTTAGGACGCTGAACAGGAAAGGCACCAAAGAAAGACACTGGCAATGGGAGAGATACTGGGAAAATACTGTGTTCAAGCAGAGAACATGGGGTTATTTACATCCACAAAAAAGTCTCAAAAATGTAAAGGAGCAAACCTTCCATCGTTAGATTAGTACTAGGACGGAAGAAAAGCGTGGTCTCTCTACTCTATGTTTATGTAAGGACAATGGCACTGTTACGGACTTTTAGGAAATTCCCTAACTAGAAACAGAAGCCAACTTAACCAAAACAAAGTAAATAAAATATGTACTGTCCCACATAGACTAGTACAGTTTACAATTAAATGCACAAAACTTTAAACGTGCTGAAGGGAAAGTAATCTGGCATTCTTGAGAAATCTCACTCAAACTCAATCAAAGCCGGTTCTCAGGAGGCCGAAGGTGCCGGTGCGGGCACAGGTGCCGAGTACTCCTCTTCGGATTCACTGCCGTCGTCCTCATCCTTCTCCTGGTCACTGCCCTCGGTGCTAAGGCGATCAAATCCTTTTCGACTGTAGCCCTTACGGCTTGCAAAGAAATTGCCAAGGTTTAAACCTCCACTTCCCTTTCCTGAAGAAAGCAAATCATAAAAAAAAATGAAGTTTACACAAACGAGTCTCAGTTTCCTTGTAAATTCTTCAGTGGTCAACAAAGTCAGAAGTCAGAGTCGGAAGATAAAAGAAAGAGTGACAGGGACTTATTCTATAGAGGCTTCTGGGTATGACTCCCTAGATTCACGGGAAAAAAAGGACAAACACACCCTCCCTTTCCTCAAGATTATACCCCTCTCCCCCGTAGGACTTGTTATTTTATTGATGTATTTTTAGAATTTTCTGCAGTGCTGGGTTGGAACCCAGGGAGGGTTGTGTGCTTCTGCAGGAATGTTTCAAATTTACTTTTCACCTCCTGTTTGCCCTGGCGCAGTGAATTGGCATCCCTGGAGAAGCTCTTCATTTCAATAACTTATGAAAAGGCCATCTTCACTTTGACAAGCACTGACATGCCAACGGTACTGACAGAAAATTTACAGAAGACCAGCGAAAGCAGATAAAAGGCAGGAGAAGAGAACTGGATAGTACAGAATGGTAAGATGGAAAAAATAAAACCGGGAAGCAAAGGAAAAAGTGCAGAGCCACATATTTCGTTTAGTTTACGGTTTGCATTCTGCATTTACACTGGAGGATGCTGCGCTGCATCCCAGGCGTTTAATTTTCAGAGGCAAAATACAAAATATCTCCTTGTTCTTTAAAAGACATGCGCATGTTGACTTTGAACCAAATATGAAGAATTCTAAAGGTCATAGGCATACCTCTAAATCTTCCCAGTACTCGTCCTGAACTTGCCTCGAGTTTGTGTTCAGAATCTGCTAAAAATAAACAAATAAATAAAAGGCAGATTTGAAAATAAGTCCTAATCAGTCTTTTCAATCCACTGATTCAACTTTCAACATAAAACCAAGGAATCACAAATGACTAAGGAGGCCTGACTCTTTTCTACATGCAATTCTAAGGAAAAAAAGTCAATATACTGAAAGTATGCAGGGCCCGAGACACATACATACTGAGATGCATACAAGCATTCCACTTCTCCCTGTGTCTCTTGCTATGCAATCTTGATAAATTCTCTGAGTCTGTCTTATCTTCTCTGAGGAAAGGGATCAATGATGCTCTCTCTCTCTGCATAATGATGTGCTCAGGGCAGTGCCTGGTACATATATAGTAAATGCTTGATAAATTTTAGTTATTCGTGTTTGAATAGTATTAAGTTACTAACAGTGTGTAAAAAATTTGGAAACTGTGGTTACTACCGTTTAGCAATGTCTCTGTGGGGCTTTACTCTATTAAGGGCAGTATGCACCCTGCTTTAGAAAGCACTGGGTCCATGTACGTCATTCCCGTTCACAACATGGAGTCCGGTGAGTTTTCCAGCACACACGGTGACCTGGAAGCTCCCCGCGGGGCTCCCATCTTCATGAAGAATCAGCTCTCTGGGAGGTACAGCCCTGCTCCAGGACTCTCCTTTGCCCTGGCTGCATGCCCTGCACTTTTTCTTTTGCTTCCACCCCTCTCTCAAGGGCTGCATGAGGGCAGCCAGGCTCAGGGTGCTCCTGGTAAGTCTCTCACTGCAAGAGCAGGCAGCGTCCTGGAGAGAGTTACTAGGCAGGTAATGGGAGGACAGACAGGAGAGGAGACGTGGAGTGAATTAGGCAAGAAGGCAAGCAAGATCGGCGACTGCTAGAGAGCCAAAAGTCACAGTTCTGCTACAAAGCAGGCAACTCCTTGCTCGGCTATGCTCATCCCCTCGGTTTGGCTCAGGGTCTGGTACTGGATGGACATCAGTGGAAGACACATGAGGGTGTACTGAAACCATGAAGGTCCTTTCAAAGGATTTGTGAAAACCGATGCTGTTAAGACTTCTCGAGAACAAGTGCTGAACACAAGTGAGAGGCTGCTGATCTTTTAAATTTCAATGCATTAAACTGAACCATACTAAGTATCATTTTTCTAAATAAAACACGGTTTAAAATGGTGATTTCATGCAGTTTGATCTTCCCAACAGATTTCTGTGTGGTGAGCACTACCTAACATGTCACCCCCTCTTCCAGTTTGGGATGGGAACCGTGCTGGCCATCCGTCCCCAAGCCTAGAACACACCTCGTAGGCTGGGTATTTATTGACACTCTTACACTGTCCATTTTAGCTTTTATGTGCCATCTTTTATGTGTCTTCTATTCTGTAAACTTCATTTGTTTATCTGTTCATTCTTTCCGCAATTATTTATTGAATCCTTAGACTTGTATTTGTGCCAGGGACATAGCAGTAAACACGGCACACAGGATCCTTGCTATCTTGAAACTTGTAACTCCATGGACTCAATAACTATTTTTCTTTCTCTCTGTTTTTATGATCGTTCTGGATCCATACCAGTGGCTCACTGTAAGTCCTTTCTGGTAAGAGTTTGCTGTAGTTTTGCAAAAACGTGTGATTGCAGATGAACACAGCAAAAGAAAGTCCAAAGGAAAAATTCCCCTTCATAACTTATTAAATTGAGTTCTTTGTTTTGTTTTTGTGTATTTTTCTGTGTCAGGGTTTTACCATGGGCACTGAATCCCTGCCATGGCTGCCTTGGCCTGAAATAGGATCAGATGCTGTTTCCCGATCAAATGCTGTCTCGCACGCTGGTACTCAGATTCCTTCCTAGATGCAATTATAGACTCTTGCCTAAGGACCTGGGGACACAGCTGAGGCACTGCTACTGAGGGCTAATTGTTTTATTTATCTGGCTTGTATTGAAAGAAACTCATTGGGTCCTAAACTGTGATAAAAATATAAAATACTAACTCCAACACTGTACCATGCCTTGTTCAGTCATAAAAAGCTGGCAGCTGAAATTTCAGTTACTCAAAAACTACCAAGTGGTTTGTTAATAGGAAGAGGTGGTCTCTTGAGAAAAGCTGCAGTTTGAGACAAGCATGTCTTCTGATTCCATAACCAGTGATTACGTATCCGTCACTGCTGGTACTGAGTACTTACTAGGCGCTGGGTAATTTGGTAAATATTTTACGTACATTATTCCATTTAACATTTGTACAACTTTGTGAAGTATTTTATTTCCATTTTGTCCATGAGGAAACTGGTTTAGGGAAAGTAAGTAACTTGCCCAATGTCATGTAGCTAGGAACTACAGCCAATTTGATGGGGAAAAAAATATACCTCAACCTAATTGACCCAAGCACTCTGAGGACCAGGCCTATTGCTAACAGCAGGAATATGCTTCTTCTCCCTGGTCTATTCCTTAATTTATACTGATTCTATTATCTACAGTCTTATACGGAGGTATTAACTTATGCCAATTGTGCTTATGTCCATAGCTAACAGGTGATGTTAAAGTTGTATGATAATTTAACTATCTAAGGCTCAGAGGCTCCAGACATTTTTCCCATTGTGATATTAATTACAGACAATACGTGAAACATAGACAATAATGTCAAAAATGTAGGATCATTAAAAACATAAACGATAAAGACACAGAAAAAAAAATCACAACCAAACTCCTGAGGACAATCAGGCCAAACATTTTTCAAAGGCAGGTTCCAAGTTCAAGGGGCTCATTTTACTTGCCTCCAAAGGCCCTTGATTTTTTCCACCGAATAAATATGGCAATGGCCAGCAGGACAACCACCGGAATAACCAGAAGGGTTGTAATGAGAACAACGGGCACTCCCGAGCCCGGCTCTTTGATGAATTTTTGTTTCTCTTGCATCTTCTGCAATTCTGAGGAAGTGGGTTTGTTCTCCATTTTGGTTTCAACAATTGCCTCGGCTTCTTCAGGGAAAGAAGAGTTCAAAATATTCAACTGACTCAAAGATTCCAAAACCCTCTCACCCGCCCCTGCCCCGTCAAAAGCAATCCTTGTTCACGATGAACTTGCTGAGTCCAGTGGACGTGGGCTTGGCTTCAATGTCTGACTCTACCAAGCTGGCAGTAGACATGAGATCAGTTACTTCCCCTGAATGATCTTTTTACTTTCCAAATGGTTTTCATTGGCTCTACCATTAATTCTCTGTTTAATGATAACTCCACAAAATATACATCCTTTGTTCACACTTCTCCAAAGTTAAACTTACAGGCAGCAATGTGTAGGAGAAAGGACTGGTGTGCAAACCGGGATCAAACTTAAACTCCAAACCCATTTCTTCTGTATGCTAGCTGTATAACTTTGGGCAAGTTACTTACATTATCTGGGCCTTTGTAATCTCATTTATGAAACTCAGATAATAATATTTTCCCCATAAAAATCCTGTATGCAAACATCTGTCATAAAGACGAACATAACAAATGAGGTATTTGCTAGGTGTTTGTTGCCTTATATAATTTTTTCCTTGTAAATTTTGCTTATGAATGTTTGATGACTTTTCAATACTTTACGTGCATAATTGCACTAGAGAAAAGGAACCACGTCCAGTTCCTTTCACATGGCTTTCAGCAAAATGTAATTGCACAAAAACGCAGTGTATATCCACTTACTGGTGATAGAAATAACTCACAGAACTATTCTGCCCCATCAGCAGGTAGTGGGTGGGTAGTGAGCCTAAAGTACTATTTGAAAAGCTGATGTAATAAAAATATCCAAGCTACTTCAGGGATCTTAATAACTATTAATTTAAAAGTGAGACTGGGCTTTGAGACATTCTTGCCTCTGAGAAGTACAACTGTGCTTGTACAGAAACCACAGTGTGCAAAGGTTGATTAAAAAAATGTCTAGGCTAAAGGTTATAACCATGTTTGCCAAAAGGTTCACAAAGTTTCTGAAAGTTCAATTTCTTTGTGCATCCTTCTACTTTAAAATACAGAGTGCAAGATAAGGTCTTATGTCTTATATCTAGATGTCCCCTCAAAGCCTCATACATTCACATAGATGACAGGATCTAGGGTGTGATATTGTGAGTGTGGTATATTGTATTAAATTAGTCCACTAATGGGATTTAACATGGTTCTAGGAGTGGATAACAGAAGACCCACCCTGGGTGCTGGTGGCACCAATCAATAGGTTTATAGCCTGGATGGAATGTAAGGAGAGAGAGGAGGCAGGCTGGCTGCTGCTGCTTGCTGCCTCCTGCCTGCCCTGCCATGTCATGAACCATTTCTCCTCTATGATGCCTCTCTGCCATACTATCCAGCCTTAGAGAAAGTGGACTGTGGACTGAATCCTCTGCAGTCTGTGAGCTGAAATAAACCTTGCCTCCTTTACCCTTGGGTATCAGGTGATTTGTCTCAGCAACAAGAAAAGTAACTAAAATGAGTTGTGTGGAGATTCTGACAAAAGGGCAAGCATAGATGATATACGCTGGAAAATCTGTAGATAATGTTCAGTATATGTAGGTTTACTTTAATGGCTATATCCTCTTCAACAGAAATGATTCTCAAATTACTTAAGACACTGCAAATACAATTTCGTATACAAACAACTAGCATATAGAATATGTTGCTTCACTGCTTGAACCATCCTCCATCACAGTCTCGAATCATCTGTTGTGCATTAACACTGCCAGGCACTGTTCTCCTTTAATCTCCACACCAGACCTATGAGCAGGCACTACTATCATTACCATTTTGCACTTGGGCTCCTGATATCCTTCCCTGTACCATAAAAAAAGAGAAGACCATGCTGTTTTTCTTTAATTCACTCACATAGCCCTTTAAAAACCTGCTGGGCAGGAAGGAAAAGGACTGGTTGCAGACTTAAGATTGTTCAAATTTAACCTAATTTTCAATTTCTAAAAGAGTCTAAGTGTGAGTCTTAGTCTTTCTGATTGTTTATCTTTTTCTTTGTTACTGTAGAAAGAATAAACAAAATGCTCTATATCTTATTTTATGTTTAAGGAGACAAACAATAAAATGGATTATGGGGGCTGGGGATTTAGTTCAGCGGCATAAAGTGCCTGCCTTGCAAGCAGGCAGTAATGAGTTCGATCCCTGGTACCGATAAAAAAAAAAAAAAAGAAAGAAAGAAAGAAAGAAAAAAATAGATTATGCAATTCAAAAAACACAAACCAGAGATAATAGCTTGATATCCAGGAACCACAGCTTTTGGAAGAACTGTTTCTATTTAAAAGTAAATATTACTAAGCAATTACCTAGTATTTTTTACCTGCCATAGGTTAATTTGTACCTAATACAGGTTTGTGCCAGATCAGTACGATTCTTTGATAAGGCAGAGTCAGGACTGAACCCTCTTAAACAGAAAGAACTGTGGGTGCCATAGGTGACAGACTAAAAGAATCCGTTTAACACTTACAGAAAGAGTGATGAGGGAGGACAGTGAACTTGCTAAGATACACACCCCTGTTTTCCACACCATTTCTTGTACTTAGATGGCCATCTATCAAAACTATTTGAACATTCTAACTTCTGGAAGAAGCTGAAGTATGCTTCAGACTTAAAGGTGCTCTTTATTTCTTTAAAAGTAGGCTAAAACAGGATTTCTTAATCTTCAAAAATCAATATTGCTGCTCTTGCAGGGTCCTCTATAGATGGAATAAAAGCTTACAACACTAGTTATCATTTAAGAATCTAAGAATTCCACTCCACACATAAATGACCAAAAATGTGCCACTTTTAAGGTATTTTAAAAGTTTTTTTATTAAAAAAACTCATTAATGTAGACTATTCCTAATGAGTGAGAAGGGAAGGCATTTTACTGTCATTCAGAACGCGGGTTTCTGGGAGATAAAGGGTACTGAACATACTGCTTTGCTGTCATAGGAGATGAAAGATGAGTTTTTTTAGTATAAAAATCATATTATAATATACTGTACTTAAAGTATTATACTATTACAAACTTATAGAATCTCTACAGATATTTGGAAATAAACATGACCTTGACAAGCTAATGTATGAAAAAACTTTTTTATTTTTCCTTAAAGCAAAGCACTTAGAAAGGGGGGCTAGCTGCAGCCCTGTGTGACTGTACACATATGAGCATGTGCATATCTCTCTGAAGGAACTGGAATAACCGGGCTAGGAGAGGAGAGTCTTTCTTGCACACCGACACTGCAATTACTACCCACTTCATCACAGTGAAAACTGAGAACTGAGGCTTTCAGATGGTATGCTAGTGAGTAACAAGCTTGGAAGACATGAAAAATACATATAACAAAGAAGATTACTCTTCCTCTTTTGATGCAGTCTTCTTCACTTCATAAGCCTAAGAAGCTAATCATACCAAGGAGTTTTTCATTTTAACATTAGGGAGTTTTTTGTTTGAATTTTCTTGAAACTGATTCACCATACTAATTTTTTTTAATTGGGAAATGGGGAATATGGAAGCTATACTTTTGGTGGGACAGCTGCTTTATCTGTAGTAACTGTTTTTGAAAATGTAAATTCCTTTCCTAAGTTTATTTTTCATAATCTCACATTCTTTTATTCTCACAAATCCCTCAGGACATGGACTCCAAAATCCTGTTATTATTGAGCAGTGATGGGACCATTTGCAAGAGAAATAAGGGTCATCAAAGGCGGATTTTAAATAAATATGCTTCGTAGGGCTGTTATATCTGGTACGTGGTTCCTCCCTCTCTGTTATAACGGTTAGTTTAAGTTAAGCTTCATGATTTTGACAAAAGATAAGATCCAGAAATCCAGTGTGATTTAGCACATAATCTTACAAAAAAGATCTAATGAGCTGTATGGGCTCATAGAAAAATAGAGTAACTTCATTTGAGTTGAAGTATTTCTGCTAAAATTAGCCTGTCCTGGCAAGGTAACTCAATAAAAATTATTATTAGAACGACTGGGTTTGGCCACAAAAAAGGAAGGTTTTCTGCCCAAATGGACTCAGTGGTGTGCACTGAGGAAAGAAGAAATAGCTCTCAGGAGAGCATTATTCATCCTCCAGTAACCAAGCCAAGATGAGGTCAGTAGGGTTGGGTGTTTTCAGTAAAGAATTTTTTAGTGGGATTTACATAAGCAGAAATAATTTGAGATTATTTTGAGATCCTAAAGATCTCAGAGTAAAACACAACCATTCCCAACCTGTATTTCTTGGAAGAATTTACAGTGAATGAACTGGCGAAATCTATCTTTCCTCAGCAGAGCAATAGTAGTAGCTAAGAGTAGAGCATTCCACAGTAAACAAATTTAAAACCTGGCTCTAAGACGGGCATAATGGTTTAAATCCATAAGCCCAGTATTCTCGGAGACTGAGGCAGGAAGACAGCAAGTTCCACTTTGACCTACATAATCCAACAACTTGGCAAAATCCTGTCTCATAATTTTTTGGGGTTGGTGTAAAGATTAAATTTGAAAATTTTTGTATAGCCCGTTGTCTGAACTATGCTGGTGGCAAGCATTATAAACAATACCTTTTTCAATAGCCTTTTTTTTCAGGACAAACATAGCTTATCAATAATTCTATATATATAGCAATGATAGAATAGTATACGATCTGAAATTTTCTTTGGTATATAATGTGATATAAATGCTTCTTAGTAGTGTCGCCTATGGAGAATCTTAATAAATGTTGAACAATTGTATTTATTTCTGTTATATTATCTTATCTCTTTCAACCCTGAGCTAGCTACATTTTCTTATCTGCCTACATAAAATACCTAAACTCTTGCTTCTTTTCATCTCTTTTCACTCTTTCATGAGAAAGCAAAACAAGTAAGCTGAAGACTAAGTTTGAGTATGTGGATGACTCACTAATACAAAAACTAATAATGAAATTGCTTTGTTATTTAAGTAGTAGGACTGCTTAATGAGAAAGACAGTGAGTTCCTAAGTGTAAGTACCTTGTCAATACCCTGAAGATAGTAAAAAAATGTAGAAATATAAATTGATTCTAGGAAAGGGAGAAAATAATTTGACAGGGGTAGAAATGAACCCAGTGGTTGATTACGAGTAGCTAAGTCTCAGCTTCCCATTCTTGGCATTGCATCTCAATGATGTATTTATTTGCATATAGGCATATGTATGTGTGTATTATCTCTCTCATGCTTTATATTGGCTATAATGTCTTGAGGTTTGGGAGAGTTCCATTTCCCTTAGATCTATTATACTGCCTTGCTTATAGAAGTCCTCAATAAATCTTGAGAGATGAGTGGTATTAGAATAGGAGCTTAGGGAACAGCTAATTTTTTCTACATCCCAATAGCATTAACTCACCAAAGTTATTTTTCAATCTTTTACATTAAAGTCCATTAAGAAAAGGCCTTTCCCATTACACTGAACAGCATTTTCCTGCTTGCTTGAGGTTAAATACTTCTAAGAGTGCCTGGCTGACTTTTTTCCTCTCTAAATGGGTCTGGCTTACTAGCTATAGATTTCTTATATTCTCAATCACATTCCATCACTTGAAATTAGTGATTTGAGATCATTATGACTACTCCATTTATCAGAAAAAATGTGGCAGCATGCAGGTTTAAAGGCTCAGCACACAGAGAAGTCATGAATAATTTGCTAGATTGTATTTTTAGACTGGTAATTTTTCAGGTTGTAATAAAGAGCCATAAAATAATTCAACACAAATAGCCTTTGGTTTCACAGTTATAAGGAATCTGACCAACCTTTGATTTCCTGGACCTCAATGCCAGCTTTTTTAACTGATCGATGTTCCATTTCTGTAACAAAGTGCAGAAAGAAGAAAAATCAGAATCATCAAAAAGAACATTTGAGAATTTAACTTTGACATTAGCCTTCTTCACTAGCAAGGATTTCTAATTCATCAAATGTATCACTGTATTAAGACATAGTTCAACACAAACTGCTAATTAGGGATCAGGTGTATGAATCTTGGAGAAAGATGAAATATTTCTAAGAAGTTTATGAATGAACTTTTCCTTTTAGGATTTATTACACTGTTCTGGTTCTCAAATATCACATAGTGCTGTTTGCATGTGGCAGTATCTTAGACTACCAGTCTTGCCACAGTGAATCACCAGTGTTGTAGCTGACATGAGACTTAACTAAATACTAGAATGTGAATACACAAGACACTTGTTTCGTCTCCAGTGCCAGACTTACTGTGCCAGAGATACTATTTCCCAAATTCATTATACAGTAGATTATGCAGAGGGCTCTCTAATTTTGAAGTTGTATGCTACAATGCAGTGCTTTCAAAATTACTTGGGAAGACTTTCCAAAATACACACATTATCATTCCTCCTCTTTTTATAGGTCTCGAGAGGCCTGGCCGCATGTACTTTGACAATCCTCCCCAGTTATGACTGCTAATCCTGGTACGCCAGTTTGACTGGATTAAGGAACACCCAGGAGGTTAAACACACTTGTGGGCAGGCCTGAACGGCTCACGGAGGTACAGCCTTGTGCAGTGCGTACCCGGTACCTTGCCCCTTCCTCTCTGGTGCCGCTGCCCTACTCTGCTTCCTGGCCACATGAACCAAGCATCTCTGCCCTGCCATGCCCTTCTGCCATGACGTTTCTCCCTGAAGTCAGCCAACCATGGAATGAATCCCTTGAAATGTGAAAAGCCAAATTTCTATAAATTGTAGATATTGAGTGCTGTGATGCAGTGATATGAAAGTGATTAATGCACCAGGCGATTCAGATAGGCACCTTTATCGAGTATCACTCGCTGGAGTGGCAGAAATACCTTAGACTGAAATCTTGGTCAGTCTGAGAGCCACATTCTTATCTGAGAAAGGAAGTTATCTGCTGTATCACTGAAGTCTTTTCCATCTTTTAAAATCTTGTGTTTTTCTAAGTATCCTAGAGTTCCTCATGCAGTTGAGTTGGGGATTACTCACCTGTCTTTTTGGGGGGGTTAAGGAAGTGCTGCTCACACATTTAGGATTCTTTCTGAAGCCATGAATAGTGAAAGGAACATTTTCAGGGGGAATGAAAGGCTACTTCTCTGGCACAATAGTCCCTAGGTACCTATGTGCACTTTAGGGTAACTGGGTCCTTTTTACTAAATAGTGAAAGTTACTCAAAAGACAATTCTGACTTATAGAAGTTCCAATTTGTGCTCCTAAACCTAGCTTGTATCTTTATCTAATTAGAGATTTAAGACTTCTGATTTTACTTCTTGATATTTTACTTTCTTTTCTTATTATACGTTTCTGTTACAGTTAACATTGCTTTTCCACACACCCAGTTCTTTTCCTTACCCCTAGTTTCTCCTATTGTTTAGACCCAGCCACATTTAAAAAACTTCTCTGGATGTTTGTGGCCAAGTAATATTTAGTGCACTTCAATTTAAAAAATTTGTGGATTTTAGCCTGAAATCAAGGGCTAGATATTACACTTTTTACATATTAGATATTATATCCAAATTGCAATTAGAAAATTCCCAAACTAGACAGAGCAAATCTGTCCCCAGACAAAATTTTGAGTTACATGAAAATAAAGCAATTTGGTATTTGCGGAAAGCTAAAACCTACGTGGAAAGTGCTTCGTGTTTGGATTCATCCGTGTCCGACACAGATACTGGCATCCCTAGACGCTCAGCAGCTACTGAGAGCTAAAGAGCCATGCAGGGCACGATGCCTCACAGAAGCGAGTCTGCCCTCCGCCTTGCCAAAGCCCTCTCTTCCTTCTGGAACCAAGCTGAAACTAACATTGGTGGTTAATGTAACAGACATTACCTCAGGCATCAAGAATTTCCTGTGGAATATCTGTGGAAACAAGGGGAAAACTGCCAGAGGAAAGAAGTGTTTCCTGGGGGCTGGGGATTTAGCTCAGCGGCACAAGCGCCTGCCTTGCAAGCAGGCAGTCGTGAGTTTGATCCCTGGTACCGGTAAAAAGGAGAAGTGCTTCCTTCCACTTTTTTTTTTTGTTGTTTTGTTTTTCCATGTAGTATTGGGGATTTGAACCCATAGTTTTCATACTGAGTTAGATCTCCAGGCATTTTTACTTACTATTATTCTTTTTTTTTTTGAGACAAGGTCTAGCTAAATCACTAAGTTACCCAGGCTGAGTTCAACTTTGCAATCCTCCTGCCTCAGCCTCCTGAGTAGCTGTGATTATAGGCAATGTTACCACCGTACCCACCTCTCTCCGCTTTTTAAAAAGTATTTAATCCCTGAAGTAGAAGCCAAATAGATCTTTTAACTATTGCCTCAATCTTTATTTCTTACTTCCATCATTAAAATATGAGAAGGAAATGTAAATGTTTTAGTTTCACACATTTTCAAGTAATAAAAGAGGGGAAACGAGGGCAAACATACTGTAAAAAAACGTACTTTCAGTCAAGATAAACTTCCACACAGTGTTTGTGTGAGCATCTCCAATGTACACGGTTCCGTCTTCAGATGCCACGATATCATGAGGCATGTCAAAATGCTGCCAAAATGGGAAGGCACATGTTAGGATGGCAAGTCCTCACTGAATCTTTCATGCAAGGGCAGAAAAACAAACCAAGGCACACAGAAGGACAATAAGCATGAAACTCAAAGTAAAGCAAAAATTATTCCCATCAAAGCAACTCTAGGCTAAAAACCATTCATTCATTCATTCATTCACATTAACTGGGTCCTGACTCTGCCAGGTATAAATCTAAACATTGGAAAATGCTAATAGGCTTCACCAAAGCTTTTAATTCTTTTTTCAAAGCAAACATACACACACTAATTACTTAACTAACTGGGGTCTCACTGTATTGCTTAGGCTGGTTTCAAACGCATGGGCTCAAGTGACTGTCCGACCTCAGCCTCCCAAGTAACTGGAACTACGCTATTACCATCAGGACTGGATGCAAAAGTGAAGTTTGTAAGGAGATTATTTTTTACAGTTCTGCCTGCTCAATTTTTCACTTCCTGCTTATTTACATTCATTTTTACTTTCATGTTTCTTGGCTTTTAAACATTGCCAAATTCGCTTTGCTTAAAAATCAAAAGGACAAGGTATTAATTTTATTATTCTTAGCAAGCCATCATGGGCTACCTTAACAACTATTTGTACATTACTGATAAGGGAAGTTATTTCAAACACTCAGGGCATTTAGATGATTTCCCATATGTGTACTAGAAGACCTGCGGCCAGTGGGGTTTTTATTACTCTTGAAGTCCAGTTTTACAGAATTTTCAGTCAGCCACAGAAGCAAACTGAATGCTACCTCTAAGTACTTCCTGGGCTTTTGTACTTAATTCACTTACTCTGTTTAAATGCTTTGGTTCACTTCAAATCATCGTTCAGTCACAAGGACCCAGGAGACAGACAGCATCTGATGTGACTTTTGTAGGCTCATCGAGCTGGCTCTTGGAAGACCATTCTAGAAATGTGGTGCTGATATTTCCAAATGTCTCCTCAAGCCCCCCAAAATGCCCTAGGTCCATCGTCTGGCAGGATGTGCATGATTTCTTTCACCTCTTAGGCCAGCAGGCCTTCCTGAATATATAGTTTTCAAAAATATATCCAGTGAGTACAAATGGGAGCATTATCCAGACTGTGGGGTGATCAGCCAACAAATACCACCTTGGTACAGTGAACACAAGAAACACTAGTGAGGTGAACTACTGTTCTCAGCTCTCACTAGGAGTAGAGGAATCGAAGCTTTGGAGACAGTTAGAAATGGGCAACAGTGCGCCACACTGAAAAGAAAAATGAAATAGCTATGCCCAGGAGGCTCATTCCTTCATAAGGCTAAATGAGCTGGGACAAATGTGCAGTGGACAGAGCCAGGAATCAAAACGCTGCAATGCTGCAACTCACAAACCTGCTGTGAAAGGCTCTTTATATGGGTTTCAACTTATGGGGAGAAACGATGTATAAATTCAGACAGTTCTTATTCTAGACCACGCTGATTTGTAAACCTTACCTTTGTAAACATTTCATACCTTCTGACAGGGAAACTATGATAATGGTAAGGGTGTACAGATGGGGGTACATGAGCTATTCGCTGGCTAGAGACCTTGCTTTAAACAAATAACAGTATGTGACTGACTCAAAGCTGCAATAACCATAAACTCCCCTATTTAGCTTTCAAACTGGTCCATGGATCTAGTGTTCTGTTGATCAAGATACTTTGAAGCCACTGTAAGGACTCAGCAGGAGGCTTATTGGGTAGGACTTCAGGACCTCCATTCCTAGTGCATGCAACTGTAATCTTTCTGGGTGGTTTTTTTTTTTTTTTTTTTTTTTTTGGTACCAAGGATCAAACTCCCAACCTCACACTTGCCAGGCAGGTGCGGTGCCACTGTGCTTTATCTCCACTACAACTATAATCTTTCTATTGACCTATTTGAAGAGCTGGGTTTTTTGTCATTTGAAACAGGAAACGTTGCAAGCTTTACATATAAACTTCAGAACTTCAAAGCTGGACAGATGCAAAGACTGTCTAATCTAACCCTTGCAAGCATTTCTCTTGAAGTACCCTTGCAAAAATAAAGCTGACAACAGAAAAGAATGACTGGGTGTACCTTTTGGAGAGTCTAGGGATAAAGCCCAACAAAACCTGACCTCAAAATATTTTATTGTCACAAGAAATGTATGTTCTGCTCCATATTGAGACTATATTTGCTCTAGCATAATAATGTTTAAACGTACTTTCTATTAATAGAATAGTTTTTCTAAGAAGTTTCACCATGCTTATTTGTGATGTATTATAACCCATGGCATACCAATATATACCTCAGGGCATGCCAGTACATGTTTAGCATACCAATACATGCTTTCTTTTTAATAAAAAAGATATGGATTTGAGATCTGGGTGTGCTACTTTGTAGCTTTGAACAATTAATTCTGTGTGAACTTTTCAATTCCAATATTGCCAAATGTAATTCTGATCTCTACGGTGAAGGTCAGAGAGATAACATGAATCTGAGTTGAATGTTCCTTTAGATCTTTCTTTTTGGAAGGGATGGTTGGATGGTGGTTTTTATCTTTCTTTTTGGGATAAATGAGGTTCCTTTCTTTTACAAATGAGCTTGCTTGCAGAAAAAATACAAAAATTGTGTTCTGATTGGTGTATATGAAAGGAGAAGATGAAGTACTTATGTCATTCCTTTGATTATGATGGGGAAGAATTTGGAGGGTGATGGTGTGTACTTAGTCTCCACTGATTTAGGAAAGCATTTGGAAGTACTTCTATTTCCCTAGTTTCATTTTCCCTGCAAAAACATAAAGATGGAAATCACAAATTCAAATGTAAGCATTTCCAAAGAATGCAACCATAGACAAGGGAAGTACATGAAGAGGTAAGAGTGGGTATGTACAAACTGAGGCTCAGACACATTACATAACCTGTGATTTGAAAGGCAAATCTCCTCTTACACAGAAGTCAATATACCACACTGCTTCCCTCACCCAAGCTTAAGCTTTATGATGATAATGTAATTAAATGAAAATTCTGAAAGATTCAGAGACTGATTTTCAGTTTGCTGAGTCAATAGGATGTATTTCTACATTCTGGTGTAATGTCAAGTCCTGTTACTAAAGGGGAAAACAGACTTCATCTTGGCGTGAGACACTGTTCGAGTCCGCTGCCCTGACTCTCTCGTCACTGAACGGTGAATGCTGCTGCTTAGACACAGTCCCTTCTGAAACTGTAATTCAGGGCTACTCAGCTGCACCACAGAGTAAAACTCACTCACAAGCTGGCCTCTTTTTAGTACTTTGTTTTATGTGTGGCTTAATTAAAAGTTAATATTCTAGATGACACAGTATACTCTTGTGGGGAAAAAAAAAAGCAAGTCAAACACTCTATTAATACAAAGTGAAGGTCTGAAAGTTATGATTTTCTCTTTATCAACAGATGTCAGCAATTACCTATAAGACGAAAAGCTACAAAGATCAGAAAATCAATGAGGATCATCAACACTATGGACATTAGAATATATTATCTATTTATCAGTCTATCTATTTTCAATGTAATGAATTTTTTCTGATTGCTGCTATGAGTTGATGATTGATTGTTTATTGTTTTTCATATAAAACATCTCTGTGAAAAATCTTACTTGTAGAATAAAATTGACACCCTCAACAAAAAGAATTTGTGGGGAATCATTAGTCCAGATTCACTTCGAATTGATTCAGATGTTGTAACTTTTGCTAAAAGCTCCACGGAGAAAGAGGTGGTGACTTGTTATGTCTATCAGTACAGTACCAGCATGTTGCATGGTGTCTGATACACAGCAGATACTTAATTTGTATCTCTGCGGTGAATTTAATAAATTCCATCCCATCAGACATTGACAGACTTACTTCAAAACTACTGAAACATTTAAAAATTCTTTTTCAAAAATCTAGCAAATTCAACTTAATGAATAACAGTTATGAGTGTCAAGATATAGCTTGTCCATTGACTTATGATAGTAGCATTCTGAGGTAAGAAAAACTAATAAGTAATTATGTATTTTGAAAACTAACCTTTGAGCATTTTAGCAGCTGAACTTTCTAAAGCTGATATATCACAGCATACTCAGTGCATGAGTATTCGGATTATCTGGCAGTCACTGCAGACAAGGTATGAAGGGAAGAGCAAGAGAGGATGCAACACTGACCCACAGTCACCGCGTGTGGACAGCACAGTTAGAATCAACAGTGGCAAACCACTCGGGAAGCCAAAACTAGCCTGCAGTCTCTGGCCTCAACCAAATCTTTAGAACCAGAATAAATACCAGGAAGTGCTGTTTTAAGCTTTGTTGCTTAGTAAAGTAACAATAAAAAAACAAACGAGATTTCGGTTGGGCTACAACTTGACATGTGGTGTCTTCACTACTTGTCTGAAAGCAGGAATAGACTTATCTAAACTTGCAATCACACATCAAACTTAATGAGAAGCTTAACATTGCACACAGGGGTAATTTTCAACAGAAGAAGTTGATCTAGAGAGAAGCAAAAACTTTTATTCTAAGTAAAAGATAGTAAGATATTCCCATCATCCTAAGAAAGTTCCTATAACTCTATAAATAATCTTAAAAATTACCTATATATTGAATGCTAATTCCTATTTTAGTTTTATTCTCATGAAAACTGAAACTGGAAAATCATAGGAATACCTTGCGTATTGGTTTGAAGACATCTATAATTTCCCCATTGGAAAAATTCATCACAAATCCTTGTAAGGGTTCTTGGTCCCTAAAGTAAGGTTTCCCGTTCACTGCAAAGAGCAAACCTGTAAAAACATATCTAGTTAGCCTTTAAAACACGAATTAAGACTGACTTCAAATATGTGCATACATGTCATATGAACAAACAATACACTTAGGGTCAACCTAGCCCCTACAATTGGCAACAAAATTTGAAAATAAAATACTTAAAAAAATATTGTCTCCTGAGTGACAAAATCAGGAACAAATAGGTTAGATGACTAAACTCCTTGTAACAGGAAAATTAGGAACTGGAAACTCTGTTCCTCTTAGGAAGCCAGCAGAAATCACAGAGACACAATTACTGATATATACATAAAATGACATAAAGATACAGGTATCAAAGGCATCCTGAATAGGAACTGGGAAAAGTCTGGTTGTTTAGACCAATTCTTTTATCAGATCTTTTGAAAAATATTGGGGCTGGGGGTTTAGCTCAGCAGCATAAGCACCTGCCTTGCAAGCAGGTGGTTGTGAGTTCGATCCCCGGTACCGATAAAAATGAAAAAAGACCAAAAAAAAAAAAAAAAAAAAAAGAAAAAGAAAAATATGTAACACTTGTTATGGCTGTATGGCAGAAAGACAAATACAAAAAAAGTAAATGAAGTCATAGTATAAAATAGAAGGATAATCTGATTTTAAACAACTGTAGTTTGAAAATGTAGAATGAGTATTTCAAAGCATCAAAGATATTTTTCTCTAAATAAATTAGGCTATCTATGATTGTACCGTGTAGTAAAATATATCTCACACTATAGAAATAGTCACATTTTGTTTAAATAAATAATCCAGATGTTTGAACATTTCATTTTCAAAGAATTAAAACATCATAAACTACATGACATTAGGGCTCAGTCAGGATAGAGCATTTGTCTACCAGGCACAAGACACTTGGTTTGATCCCCAGCAATACATCTTCTATATCTGTATCTCTATCCATCTCAAATCACTGTTCGAGATGGATATATACATTCCTAAACCACTGTTGAAAATATTTTCACGTTTCTCTAAGGATTATGGACTTCCTAAAAGTAGATCACAATATTAAAAAATTAACATCACAAATACCAATTGCTGTTGTAGAATATTACGGAGAGCAGTGTGGGGTTCTTTTTTTCTTTTTCTTTTTGTCTTTTTCATTTTTATCGGTACCAGGGATCGAATTCACGATCGCCTGCTTGCAAGGCAGGCGCTTATGCCGCTGAGCTAAATCCCTAGCCCCAAGTCTTCACTATTTTTAATACAAGGAAGAGTGGTCCTTGAGTTGAAAATGATTTACAGTGCAATAACATTTTAAAGGTACTTTAAGATCTGATATATGGGACATTGTTAACCACTTAAGAAAAAGTATAAAATGTATATTAAGATAAGGCAAATGACAAAAATAGAGCCACAAAAAAGGAAATACCTGGTACATATGAAATTGCGAACACATTTCTTCCAAATGATGTGTGCTTAATCTCTCTCACAAATTCTTTGGTGTCAGTTTTAAAGCACTGGATCCGGCCATTTTCCCTGTCTGCCACACATAGTTGGCCCAAATGAGGCGCAAGGGCCAAACTGTGGGGGACCCTGAACTGGCCGGGTTTAGGACTGCTCCCAGAAGTCCCTACAGAACAAAGGAAAGTCTCAGACCACAGTTTACACAAGCATTCAAAGTCTGACTCTCTAGCTCTGCAATTTCTCAAGATCATGATAGAAACCATGACATATATATGGAACCAAGGGATAAATCAAGTAAAGTGGCTTCTAAATTTATTCCATAATATCTCTTACCAGCAAACACGTTACAGGTTTTCTATTTGGACACATTTTTTTTGGTGGAAGCATACTTTTTCTTTAATGAGGCCCGTGTGTGCACATGTGCCTGTGTACATCTGTGTGTACGTGCATGCATGTGTGGTATATGTGTGACTAAACCAACTGGATGTATATAGTAGTTCTATCTTTTTTGTCCCACCTCCTCCCCACTATAAAGGACGTTTGAATCCTAAAGAATCTGAAGAGTGGCCAATGTCCGGCTCCTGGTGACAGTGGCTAAGATTTGCAAGCAGTGGTTTAGAGTCTTCCGGTACCTTCTCCCCACTGTGTGACAAACTCTCCTCGTGGGGAGAACTGCACGATCCGGCTGTTGCAGTAACCATCAGACACATAGATGGCGCCAGTGCCTGGATCCACAGCCACATCAGTGGGCTGGCAGAAGTGATTTTGGTCACTCCCTGGTTGCATGCTCCTTCCCAGGATTAAGAGAGGTCCTTTACTGTTTGGATCCAGTTTGAATACCTTAAGGAAAAAAAAAAAAAAAAAAAGAAGCCTTACCACCTTTCCATAGTTATTATTACCCTATTCCCTTTGCACAAGCGACTAGAGTATCAGCTCCCAGATACTCAAACCAAGATAATTTTTAGAACTGAATGGGGCCTTAACAATCATCAAGTCTGAACCCTTCACTTAATAAATAAGCCTACAGAGATTAGGTGATTTGTTCCAGGTTATCTAGATAATCTGTAGTGAACAGAGATCAGAATATACATATTCTATTCCACCTACCTCCACACTTACTTTTTGTTTTTCCTTAGCTAACAGTAAAATGATCTCCAGACAAGACATGAGCAATGTTTACTGAGATGATGTATGAAGATTGCTGAAAGAACAATTTAACGGTTCATAACTAAGTCTTCTGAGTTCTAGTTTTTGTCTGAGTTCTTTTCCACCTATATTATACTTCACAAGCTTATCTTACATGGGGGAAAGCCCTGAAGATTTTTCTGTGACTGAAATATAGTATCTCTGAAAAAGGACGAAATGTTTGACTTTTGTACATATATATATTATGTATATATATTTTTAAACTAGGGATTATGGCCTAATTTGTGGAAGAGTAGGGCAGCTTAGGAAAGAAAGCATAAAATATAAGCAAAAAGTAGAAGCAAGACCCAGGAACAGAAGAAATAAAAGCAAATGTAGAAAACCTACACTTGACTTTAAGAAGGAGGTCAGGAGACCCCATGGAGATCCTCTAACAATGCTGCAAGTTTGGCCCTATGCCTGTTGCCAGCCCAAGAGAGAAGAATGACTTGAAATTAATATGTGATAAAATTCACATAATAACTATTTCTAGCACTGAGTTCTTTTTTATATATATTTTTTCTTTTTCTGTTTTTATTGGGACCGAGGATCGAACTCACAACTGCCTGCTTGCAAGGCAGGTGCTTATGCCACTGAGCTAAATCCCCAGCCCCTCTAGCACTGAGTTCTGAAAGACATGTTAAGTGTGCATTGATATGAACTGAGCGTCTGTGTCTTGCAAATTCGTTATGAAATCCTGACCTCCACTGTGATGGTATTAGGCAGTGGGGCTTCTAGGAGGTAAGGAGAACATAAGGGTAGAGCTCTCATGAACCAGATCAGTACTGTTGGAAGCAGAGAGGCAAGAATATACTTTCATTCTTTTTTTCCATCATGTGAGCATGCAGTGAAAACTGTGATTTGAAACCCTGAGAAAAGCCCTTGGCAGAGCCCAAGCATGCAGGTACCACCATCTCAGACTTCCAGACCCCAGAGCTGAGAGAAATAGCTTTCTGCTGTTTATAAGCCACTTTTGTTTACAAGAGGAAGTAAGACAGGGCTGTTCCATTTTTTGTTGTAAATTTACTGGGTCATGAGGAAGAGTCCAGCGTGTTTAAAGCATTTTGAAAACTTAACTCTATTATCTTCTGTTTGAACGCTGCCAGATGGGAAGATTACCTGATGGAGAGCCACGTCTGTAACCCAGTAATTTCCATCTTTATCTATACTCAAGCCATGTGGCAAGTAAAACCTGTAAAATAAAAATGATCGTCTCATTTTATATTTATTCCTCAAGCTTACAGAAGAGTAATTTCCTTGTAATTAACCCATAAAAGCAATATAACTTCATAAGATATTAAGTGTCTATTTGTAGTATTACAGAAAAAAAATAAATTGTTGAATGAAAATACCTGTTAGAACAGAGGCTTCCTTAGAAAAAGCATAATATTTAATCCTATGAAAATCTATAAATAACATTTACAAAAATTATAAATGTTTATTATAAGGTATGGTTATATATCACAAATGTTAACATTTTAGCAATGTGCATAAAACAGATTGTTTAGAGAAATAACAACGGGTTTCTATAGTATAAAGAATTAAAATATACTTGAAAGAAATTGTTTTAATATAAAATATTAAAAATATGACTGAGATGCTTCCAAGCGCCCACAAAGACAATAAATAGCAGGGCTGTGATCACCCTGGCAAAGTGAAGCAGAGGGCAGGCCAGTCATTAGGGCAAGGTGATCTGTGCAGAAAATCCCTCTGCGTGATCTGTGCAAGACAGTGAGGAACTAATGCAGATGGAACCACCGGTTTAAGGAATCTGGACAGAGTTAATCAACACAGAGGCAGTATGTTCAGGTGGTTCTGGGCAAATGACATCTGACAGTTCTAAAGCTTTATCAGCGTCTTGCCTTAATACGGATCTTCTTTTACAAGCCAAGGCTGTAACTATCTGATTTTGCCTAATTAAGAGAAGTATCCTGTGACTGAAAGTGAAGGTCATGATTTGCTTTCAACACAGGCACTCGCTCTGGTCAAGCTGACTTTGCAGTGGTTGTTTAAGCTTTCTCTCTGGATTCCTTTCTGGATGTGGATGCCTGTTTGGATCCAGCTACCAGTAGATAGGTTCAACACAGAGTGGTCAAGCTGTTATTAGAATCTGGCTTCTGATTCATCATCTGAGAATACTATTTTAAAATCTAAGCCTCATTTTGCCATCTCACAAGCAGCTGCTTCCTAAGCAATGGCTCCCTGCATTTCAAAGGAGATGGCCTTGCTGAGCCTAAGCAGATGGAGTGGGGTATAGTTCCTGGAGCTGCCAGGTCACAGAGGCTGAAGAGACCCTGTAACCAGGAGTCCCTTTCTTTCAAACACCATGAAAACCAGCCAACATTTTGTTTTGCTTGCCAAATGCCATCTAGGAAATAAGACCAGAGAGTGAGTGGCTTTTGAAGCCAAATTACACAAGCATGCTAAGCAGAGCTAAAAATGGTATGTGGTTAAGCCTTCATTTCAGATGGGGAGAAGCTCTTTTCCTTTTTGGTGATTACTTGATGAGTTCAGTCTGCAACTTTTCTGCTGAAGAATTTTTCTTTTAAATCATCAGATCTGATTAGCAGCTCAGATCACTGTGTGTATCAACGGCTCTTTCATGCTTGACTGCATATTAGAATAGCCATATTGGCTGCATCCCCAGATGAAATCAGAAACTATTATCTTAAGATCACAAATAATAAATATCATTATATATATCTACAGGATACAATATGATGCAATAATACATGCATACAATAGATAGTGATGAATTCAAGCTAATTATCGTATCTATAAGCTCAAATACTTTTTGTGATGAGAATGTTTGAAACATGCTCAATTTTGAAATAAGCAAGGTAACTGCATAGAAATTACTCAAAAAATGACACACAAATGGCTAATGGCTATCTGCCCATAATTTTTTAAGGTTCACAAATTATTCTAATATTTAATTATGACTTAGAAACACCTATCCAAAAAATGAAAGATGGAATAGCCAAATTAGTTTCTTACTCTCTTAAAAGAATAGTTGTATGATATACTTTTTCAAGACTCAGTGACAAAATTTATATTACCAATATACATAGCACAAGTCTAAGTGATTTAACTCACAGGTTTTTTCCACTGGATCGGAGTACTGCAGCATTATTTGGATCTATAACAAGAATGGTATCGTCTTCTATTGGCCCAAGTCCTCTTTGTTGGTAAACAAACTTGCTGTCAAAGGAACTAAATAAAATACATTACAATGGACAATCAGAAAATTCAGTAAACTTGAGAAATATAGTCTACTCACTTTTCCCAGTTTAGCCTCCCACCCAAAAAATAAAAATAAAAAACAGCCTGAGACATAGTTGACTTTCTATCAGTATATTGTGTAGATATTAGGGCTTTCCATGGAGCTTCCACACTGGCTTTTCTGGAAAATGCAATCTCATATCTAATAGCCTACAATCTTCATTTTCCAAAGATCCTCAACTAACTCATGTGCATGGTAGATTCTGAAAAACACTGATCCAGAGCCTCTAAAGTAGCTAGAAGTTTTGAAAATTCTTTGTCTTTTATAGTTCAATTGATATTTTCTTCCCAATTAAAAAAAGAAATCTCACTTATTTGATCTTCCCCATAAGGATAATGATATTGGGAAAATAAGGACCCAAGGCATGTGTCACTGTGTTTTCCATAGATGCAACATGTGAACACAGATCTAAGGAGAGACACAGAATGTTCAAAATAAACACAAAAACAGGAACTTACTCTTAAAACAAAAATATGTCGAGAAACTCCAAACTTTTTTGCATCATAGCTTTTCTCTAAGTACAAAATGGACAACAATTGAATATTAAGTTTAAAAATGAAAATGACTATGTCAATTTCTGCTTTTTAACTCAGTACATTTTAGATTATTGTAAATTTAAAATATATGTACTTAATATTGTATATTATTAACTCAATAAGTAAACATAGCAATATGTTTGTTCCTTAAATTGATAATTAAGAAATTTTGCTATTTCAATTCCTATTTGAGGATTACACAGTCCTTATGCTTGCAGCATACACCCCAAGACTTTAGAGGATGCCTACAACCACACAAAACACCAAACTTGTCTATATACTCTTCCCTTTTCCTAGACACACTACATTAGTCAGCTTTTTATTGCTGTGAACAATTACTTAGAAAAACCACTTAGAAGAGGAAATATTTATTCTGGCTCATGGTTTCAAAGGTTTCAGTCCACAGTCAAGCGATCCCAAGGCAGAATCATGCTGGGTGAAAGGCAGCATGGAGAGGACTGCTCAACTCATGGATCCAGGAAGAAGAGAGCAGGCAAAGATCCAAAGAAGAAGGGATAGGGATCAGAGAGAGTCACCAAGGTCATATCCCCGTGAGCCAACCAGACACACCCACAAGTACACTTTACTGATCTGCTAGACTTCTCTCAAGCAGATAAAAATGACAATGTAGATTACCTATGACCTACATCTATGATAACATTTCAGGCATCAGTTAGGCACAGTAAGAGATTAGCAACCTTACTTATAAAACAAAGCAAAACATTATTAACTCGAATGGCAGCATCCCTACTCTTGAGTTTTGGCAAAACGTCAGTAAAATAAGACTGAATACGAACACAGGCACTGTGAAACCTCAGGTCAGTCCAGAGATGCCTGCTGAGTGAATATTGGATGGGTAGTAGATGTTATGGGCAAAGGGGTGAATCACATGCCCGAAAGGTGGGAGGTATTTTATCATGCGCCACAAAACACCACACATCAAAATGTGTTAATTATTTATTTCTGGAATTTTTTATTTCATATTTTCACACTATGGTTGGTGTAGTAACCATGGAAAGTGAAATCACAAATAAGCGGGAATGACTGTATATGTTAATGAGACACATGGAGAAGATAAGCAACAAGTAACCAATTTATATTTTCAAAAACATGTATTAGATGGTCATACAGTTAAGTGTGAAAATTCATAGAATATAAATATGCATATTTTCCGGTGAGATATTTTAATGAATGATCAACAAAGACTTCTGTAAAATAGGATGTCCTCTACAACATTGAGAAGAGCTGTGAAAAATTGTTAATATTTTGTGGTTCCACTGTATGAACAAAGAAGAACCTGAATAACATTAAATATCTACTGAGATATATTTACAATTTGGGAAGGTGACAGGCTGCTCATATCTGAAACTCATCCAGTAGGAAAACACAAAAAAAGTATATTTTTTTCTCTTGCCAATAAAAGTATTCATCACACAATTATCTCAGTTTCTTAAATACTAGTCTTCAGGGTGTATTCTTCCTGAAAGACAACAGCAAGTCCCTGAAGGCGTTCTTATTAATGATGCATTCAGCTGAGCACAAAATATTGTTTCAGCTTTGTCAACCTAAAACTTAAGTAAAACTGTTTACCTAAGCTATTTCATGCAGTTAAAACCACATGGTGGTATCCAGAAAAATATATATAAATTTATGAAATGGAAGTAAATCTGATGAAATAGCTCTAAGACATTCGTAAGATATTCATGGAATCTTTGTTAAACTGAAATGTAAAATTTTGTTAGATAGAAAGCGATGTAAGGATACAGAAGGTATTAGGAAATCAGGAGAGACGGGTATGTACAGGGCAAATAGGCACTCAGTCACTGCTGCCACTGTGAACAGCAAGGAATTTTCCTGTACCTGAAATTATTATGATATGTTATTGAAGTATTTCTCTGTTAAACACAAGGTACTGGATTAACCATTTTTTAAACTTCATTATGACACTGAGTAACTAAAGTTTAGCACATCGAGAAAGCATGTTCTAAGTTTCACATTTATGCAGTACAGACTGACGACTTTTAATTCCCCTCTCCTCTACTGGGTATTAAACTTTGGGCCTTGGAAGCTTAGCAAGTCTCCTAGTACTACATGCCCAGCAATCTTTGAAAATTTTATTTTTATTTTGCCAAACTGCCTAGGTTGGGGTCAAATCTAAAATCTTCACGTCCTGAGTGGTTGGAATCACAGGCGTGAATCACCGTGCTGGTCAACAGCTTGTCTGAGGTTTACGGTTTCTATTTCTCATTATTCAGAAACATTTCAGTGCTCTGGAAAGGCATAATAGCTATCTAGATAATGTGAAAATTATGCTTCCCTTAATTACTAGGTATTATAATCTTTTTCCTTTGTTATTAAAAGGAAATTGTCATTGCAATAATTGTAGACTCCCATGTAGCTTTAAGAAACACCACACAGATCTTCTGTGTACACTTCACCCAGTTTCTCCGGGTGGTAGTCTTCTATAGAACTGTATACAGTAGCACAGCTAAGATACTGATAATGATAAAATCTACTGTTCATATTTATATTTCCCTTTCCTTTTATATCTTAAAAGTTTTCATTGATTCTTAGTTTGTGTGGTCATGGAATATACTTATGCATTACTTTCCTAGTTCACCCCGCCCTAAGATTTAGTAACATAGAAAATTAACAAATCCTCATAATACTTACTGAATGCCATCTCCTTTATATGCAAACAGGGTTTCCACTCATCAGTGACAGCTAACAATTGTGGCACCCCAGGGGGAGTGCTGCATATCCTCAAACCCAAGGCATACTAGACCTCTGCACACTTAATGCTCTGTTTTCTCTGAAGAACAATGAAATATATAGGAAGCCAGATATATTTACCTGTTTCTAGTTTCTCTACAAATTCTCTAAGGTAGCTGTGTCCTTCCTCTGTCTTGCTCTTTAGACACTTAAATATTCACCATTAATCCTAAGTATCTGGTCAAATTGTTTTAGGAAAAAAAAAAGAATCATTCCTACAAATTACAGAAAGGGGATCGCCAGTCTCCCCAGGAACATGCAATGAAATTGTATAATTTAAACCGTTTCTTAGAGCTCTGGTTTCTATGGACACTCACATATTTAAAAATATAAATATTACATATTGGCAACCACGTAAGATCAGAGTCACAGACCCAAGGGTCTCGGTTTGGCTTCCGAGAAAAACAAAAACAATGTAAAGGAAGGGATAAATTATCTGGGCCCCCAGTTCTGTGTCATTGAGGTCAAAGGAAAACATTGCGGTTGATGAACAGGAAAGTGAAGAGTACTCTTTACTAGTGCTATTGTTTTGTTTTGCTCATTAATGAATCAAGAAAAAACAATTTATCAAGTAATTAGCGTTCTGTGTTCACAGACAGTACGTATGTGGGCATCCACACCTATAGTCTAGAAATTTCAATTTTTTTCTAGTGGTAATAAATAACAAGATGAGCTAATTTGAAGCTTGTCAAATTTTATTTCATTATCTACTTTTTGGTTTTTTACTAGTGAATTATGAAATAATAAATGAAGAAACTGATAATAAAGTTAGGGAGTAAACATATTAGATCTTACAATCACAAACTTGATCCATAGGAAACATCAGATTTCTCAACTTACCAAGATACATATTTCCCAGTATGTTGTTATGATGTAAACAATTAAACAATTATATTTAGTTTGCTAGCCTAAATTACACTCATGTCATCTTTATATAAAAAAGGCATTTTATATATTGTATAAAACTAGCCACCATATCTTTATGATTATGCACATTACTATTATCAATCTTCCCCTGTGTCTTCTAGGGGTCTAGTGAGTAAGTTTGTACTGACTGGAATCTATTCATGTAGCTACACTCCCTTAAAACAAAGAAAAAATGACATAAAGGAAATAATATAACAAAACAAAAATTAGCGAGAAGACACTATTTATTTTTGTCTTTTTCATTTTTTTATCGGTACCAGGGATCAAACTCACAACCGTCTGCTTGCAAGGCAGGCACTTATGCCGCTGAGCTAAATCCCCAGCCCCAGAGAAGACACTATTAAAACCACTTAAATATATTAATTTACCTTAGCAACGTAAGTAACAGATAAGAAAACACAGAATTCTTAGGAAGAATATAAGTTTAAAGGAATTAACCACAACGCAACTGACATGATCCTGTCATTAAAATCTTTGTGATGCCCCTTAACAGATGCCTATATGTTAAAAGTGGCAGCATCAAGCGACATTCAGTCACTCAACTGATTTGATCATCTGGTCCTAATTCTTTCATTTGAGATGGCTGGTGTTTCTAGAACTAATGGATGGTCCCTGGTGCTACACAGGGCAAACAATGAAACATGTCGATTTTTTTTCTTAAATAAGAAAATCCACTCCCTCCACACACATGCACA